CTTTCCTTATTTTCTCCTCCCCTTCGCAATTCTCTCTTCATTTCTTCTTTCCTCATCTATTCTTCTCTTCATCTCTTTCCTTATTTCCTCCTCCCCTCCTCAATTCTCTCTTCATTTCTTGTTTTCTCATCTCTTCTTCATTTCTTTCCTTATTTCCTCCTCCCCTCCTCAGTTCTCTCTTCATTTCTTCTTTCCTCATCTATTCTTCTCTTCATCTCTTTCCTTATTTTCTCCTCCCCTCCTCAATTCTCTCTTCATTTCTTCTTTTCTCATCTCTTCTTCATCTCTTTCCTTATTTCCTCCTCCCCTCCTCAATTCTCTCCTCCTTTCTTCTTTTCTCATCTCTTCTTCTCTTCATCTCTTTCCTTATTTCCTCCTCCCCTTCGCAATTCTCTCTTCATTTCTTATTTCCTCATCTCTTCTTCTCTTCATCTCTTCTCTTATTTCCTCCTCCCCTCCTCAATTCTCTCTTCATTTCTTCTTTTCTCATCTCTTCTTCATCTCTTTCCTTATTTTCTCCTCCTCTCCTCAGTTCTCTCTTCATTTCTTCTTTTCTCATCTCTTCTTCATCTCTTTCCTTATTTTCTCCTCCCCTTCGCAATTCTCTCTTCATTTCTTATTTCCTCATCTCTTCTTCTCTTCATCTCTTCTCTTATTTCCTCCTCCCCTCCTCAATTCTCTCTTCATTTCTTCTTTTCTCATCTCTTCTTCATCTCTTTTCTTATTTTCTCCTCCCCTCCTCAATTCTCTCTTCATTTCTTCTTTCGTCATCTCTTCTTCTCTTCATCTCTTTCCTAATTCTCTCTCCCCTCCTCAATTCTATTCTTCACCTCTTCTCCTATTTCTCCTCCCCTCCCCTCCCCTCTTCCCTCATTTTTTTCTTTCCTCATCTCTTCTTCTCTTCATCTCTAGACTGGCCAAACCCAGTTCCTGCAATCCTCTTTGTTGCTCTTCTCTGCCCTCTTTCCAAAACCTCAACCTCTTTTTTTTTTTAGCTCTGACGCCCTGATTTTTTCTCCCTCCCCCCTCGTCCCCCCCCTCCCCAGGGAGCAAAAGTGGCTGCTGCCCCCGTGGCTGGCTGACCTTCCGCTACAGCTGTTACTGGACCACCCAGACCAGAGACACCTGGCCGGCGGCCAAGAAAGACTGCGAGGATAAGAAATCCCACCTGATCATCCTCAACTCAGCCGACGAGAAAGTAAGTGGGCCGGGAGATTCCCCGGGGTCTCCACCAGGGGGCAGGAGGGAGGGCAGCCCTTCCTCCCACTTACCACGGTTCGTTTAATGGCCGTTCAAGGCAACGCCAATGCCAAACAGAGCGACCCTTTCTCACCCTTACGACCAATCCAGTCACGCGATCCCTATTCGGACGCCCAGCTGTTGGCTCCAACTTATGACGATCGCAGCGCCCTTTTGCGACCTTCTGACCAGCATAGGGAAGCCAAAGGTTCACTTAACGACCACAGAAGAACGGCAGCAGTTCACTTAAGGACCGTGGCGGGGAAAGGTCATCAAATGGGGGCGAAATTGACGAACCGTCTCGCTTAACAACGGACGTTGGTGGGCTCCGTTGTGGTGGTAAGTGGCTTGTGGTTTTTTTTCCCCACGCCAGGCCTTCGTGAAGACCCACCGACAGGGGAGTAACACCTGGATTGGCTTGACCGACTCCAGCGGGGACTGGAAGTGGGTGGACGGATCCTCCTACAACTTAGACCCAAAGTGAGTCCATCTCCCCCACCCCCAGGGAATTAAAGCAGCCCCCCATTTTTACCAGGGGACTCATTATATTTGATCATCACTGAATGACCCTTGTGGGGTGGAGTCTGAGCAACTGAATTGAGTGTTTTACTGGCCGGATGCCTTTCCCTGTTGCCAGGGCGGAGTTTTGTTCAGCAAAGAGAGAAATATCAGCCTCTACCTAGGATCGATCTCGCAGTCTCCTGATTCGGAGGCGAGAGCTCTACCTCTAGGCCACCTCACCACTCTACTCATCCTATTTCATGCCACGGATAAAATAATAGCCTCTATTTTCATGGGGGGAGGGGGGGGGAAATGCCCCCAGGAAATGTTTGGTCAGAGATATTTTTAATCCCTCTTTAATGGGGTCTGTTATCCCAGGTCAGAGCAGGTAAAGGAGGAGCAGAATGGGGTGACTGGCTGGGGGCAATGGGGGTTGTAGTCCCACACACGGGGAGAGGGGCGAGGATCAGATTGGAGACTTTGAGGTGCCAATAGATATTCAATGAGATTCATTTTTGTTTTCCTTCCTTCCTTCCTTCCTTCCTTCCCTTCCTTCCTTCCTTCCTTCCTTCCTTCCTTCCTTCCTTCCTTCCTCTTACCATCCTTTCCTTCCTTCCTT